AATAAAGGGGCCAACTAAACTGTTTCTGGACCTTAATTAGAGTGGTGAGAGGTTAGAACCTACTTTGGGTTTTTAATTCTGTACTAGACATATGCAGCTGCAAAAAAATTGTTTTGTTTCGTTTCGGATTTAGTTTATTTCGGATTTCCGAAATCGGGTCCTGTATGTGTTTCGGATCGGATTCGTAATTCGGATTAATAATTCGGACGAATCTCCGAAAATTGGGGTTTTGCGCTGACGGACGAATGTTCGTACACACGTACGTAGCAGAATTAGCACAGTTGACATTTCTGGTTGCTGTGCTCCAGTCTTCACTATTAAAGGGACATTAAAATCCTTTTCTTAATTTTTTGTATCCGTTTAAACGTTGCATGCACAGGAACATGAAGTAATGTTTTGTTTTTATCTTGACATGCTATGAAATCCTCTTTTTGTAGTCATTATCGTTAATTTCTAATTTAGTTTCCATTAGGACGAATATCATACTGAATCCGGAATTTCGGATTCGGATGCTTTCAGGTGAATTCGGACATGGTACATTTCAGAAATTCGGATGCTCTGAATCCACGAATTTCCGAAATGTCGATTCGGAACGAAAAGAAAGGCACAATTCTATTCTGTACCTTCCTCACCTGAATTCTGTACCTTCCTCACCTGCAGCTTCTGGGATTTTTATACCTCACATTCTGGGAGCCCCAATGTTCTTACTATGGTAAGACCATTCCCCCCCCACCCTACTATGATTCTCCTCATTGTTGTATCCACTTTTATACTCATTAAGCCTGGTTCTATAAAATAGACACATTCTCAAGTCAAAAATGGGTTCTTCCTTGTATGGTCTTTTTTTAATCTGACTGATGCAATCTATACCGGAAATCACTAGTTGACCACCTCCAGAATCCTTGCCAACTCCCCCTGTATTTGATCAGGGTGTCTGTCCATGATGCTACTTACTTTTTGGGTGTACCCTACTTGACCACATGGTTCTTTTTGCTTGCAGTCAAGATATTGGCCTCAAGATCCAAGCAATTAATGTGCCCCACCTTGTTTAGTGAGGACTGTGCATGTCACTGTTCCTCTGTTTTTCCTATTAAGACAGTATCCATTGTTAACAATGCACATTGTACCTGGGAGATTATTTTGTTATCTTCCTGCTTTATTTCCCTTGGGGACATATTGTCAGTTCAGAGGATTTAATGAGACTGGGTTACTGGGAGATATATCCTCTTTCACATGTCAACTGAGAAAGTTCCCCATACATTTCTTCTTCTTCCTTCCTGCAATAAAAATGTCATTCCCAGTGTCTTTCCCTACTAGGATTTGTACTCCCACTGTCCTTGTGGAGGATTCCTTTACAGTTTTATGATTTTTACAATAATTTTTCCCTAATAGGTGAAACAGGTTTACTTGATGGCATAAAATCCTTGCATAACCTTTTTGTGTGTTTCCAAAGGTCTTCTCATGCCTTCTGCCCTCATACCCATGTATGCTAGTTTCAGTTTCTTACGGTATACATTTTTCCCCCTACCTTCCACTTCTCATTAGAGGAGTAGTGGTTTATCCAGTCATCTCCTTGTAAAGTTCTCATGGTTACCAATCTTTTTATTTTTCCTTCACTTTATCCATTTGAATTTACTGCTGACAGTGTTCTCATACTTATGAATGTCTATCCGCAAGATTACTTGTCTCACAGGCACCATTTTCTTATTATGAATATCCCTTTCCCAAAGCAAATGGTTTAGGGGTTGGGGATTGCACTCCAGCTGCAGTATGCTGGATTTTTTTTCTTTTGGATGTATTTTGTCTTTCATTATTTCCCTAAAGTTGGCAGGTATTTTAGGCTTAAGCCTTTAGCATTCTACAATTTCTTGTAGTAGCCCACCATAGCTGTTGGTCCAAATAGTTTTTTCTCTTCAGGTAGTTGTTCCACATGTTTTATTTTCTTGTAATAGATAATTAGTTGCCTCTCACATTGTTATTGAGGCCCATTGTGGTTCAGGTAGTAGCTTTTGCCTTACTGTCAAGTACCTGGCTTGGCCTGGAGCACTAGTTGATCCTCCATGCTCCTCCTCCATGCTCCCCCCGGAGAGAGTGGCAAATTCCATATTTGCTTATTTTGAATTCAAGTGTTTATCTCTTCATACACTCCTTGTAGTTTCATTCCAACCGTCCCATCTGTGAGATAGGTCAGTACATCTTGGTCTCCCCTCAGTGCACAGCCTTTGTACGTCACATGTCTAAAAATAAAAAATCCAAAAATAGTCACCAGCACAACAAAGCATATTCTATCAATTTCTCTTTATTGACAAAAGAAAGGTATGTCACAATGTGTAACGACGTTTCGGAAACCATTTCGGTCCCTTCTTCAGGCAAACAGAAGTGAAGTATGTCTAAGAATATATGACATTCCCGTGTCACTCAATAGATGAGAAGGAAAATAAGATTTTTGTATTTATTGTAAAATCTTTTTCCTGAAGTCCTCTGAGGGACACATCCTGCCCCTCTGTGTTTTGTTTTTTTTGTCCTTATGAACTGTTTTCTCACAATACTGAGGCACAACAATTGGGTTGGGTTTTTAAAGAGGTTGGCTTAACGTATTTGTTTCCCAGTGTCTTAACCTCCTGAAGGCAGCAGTTTAACCCACATGTCCGAGCGTATGCTATATTCCTGTGTCCTCAATGGACTTCAAGAAAAATATCTTACAGTAAGTACAAAAATCTTATTATATTGCTGTTTATGTTCTTTTGGAATATTTTAATTTCCTGCCATAGCTCCAGAACTTCATTTCCTGGGGGGCATGACAGGAAATGATGGGAAATCACCCCAAGGGGGACATAGACAGCAGTTATTAGCTATTGGAGAAAGTGGTTCTACAGCTGAAAATATATATATTTCTACTGGAGTCCCACTTTAAGGATAACACCATCCAAAACCAGGTAATATGAGCTGCAGACCCATGCTCCCTACAGTTCACATGAAAGGTCTCCTATTGAGGTCTGGCAGCTCATCCTGTGCTGAAGGGTTGTCAGAGTGGTAAAATCCCTCTACCTGCCCCTCTACACATGCAGACCAGCTAAGCAGTCAGGAAGACCGGTGTAGGACGCTTGAAGTATAGGATCCAAAAAATACAACATGAAGGTAATGCACGTTATAGTCTCATCCAGTGCCGGAGGATTCGTTTGCTTTGGAGAAAAGTTCACGTTTGTTCTTACCTGTGGGTGTCTTCTAGAGGAGTAACTTTTCATGGCCGGGGGGAGGAGGCTGGGGCATTGCGGTGCAAGAGGTTTGCATGTATAGCTTTTGATATGAACATTATGAAATGTACTTTGTCTGAATGACCACGACAAAACGAGAGGGAAACATGTGATGCATGGTTATAACTAAAGATGCTATTGTAATGTTACCATGTGCTCTACTGAATTATGCCCTTTTCCTGAATTATGCCCTTTTCCTGAAGATTTATAGGGGACTTATTAAAATATTACATGACATGAGCAAAATCAACATTACTGTGCAAATTGAAACCATGTATAATTTACTTTTGCTTGCTAAGTACCGTAATCAGCAGTTTTTTCTCATTTTATAGCAGGAAGCCGTATAGATTCAGGGACTCCGATCACTACTCTGGATAAAATTCTTCAATACAATGCACTATATTTTAACTGCAGTCCGAGCCGTGAAAGACACAGCGGAAACATATTACTTTAATTAGAAAACTGCTGTGCGTCAAAACACTTTTTTTTTTTTCTCGGGAAGAAATTCCTTATTAGAACCCATGAGATGCTAAGGGTGTGGAATTAGTGTCCGCCATGCATAACAGCAATAATGTAAATGAGCTAAATTATGTACGGTCTGCTCTTCAGCCCCTTATTAAATCTATTTATCTAATTCTTCTGCACTCCAGCATTTACCGGCCCGCACTGCCTTGATTTACAAAAGTTTGTTAAGCAAATTGCTTATGTAATGTACTATCCCGCTTAACTGCTCAGAAAATGAGCCATCGCGTATTGCTAAAGTTTTTCTTTGTTAACTTATAACTCACAGAAATGGGAACTACTTGTAACATGTGTTTTGGAGTCCAAAAGATATTTATTCCAATCGAAACAGATTGAAAAAAAATGCATCTTAATTCTTTACAAAAATGCATGCTTAATGCCTAACAAGTCCTCACACACCCTGAAGATTCTAGTAACAAGGCTCACATGTGCTGTGAGACGCTATTCGGGGATGATAACTCGGATATGTATTCTGCTCAGGGCTGTACCTATAATGAGGCAGCCGGACGCGATTGCCTCAGGCAGCATCTTATTGGGTCACGTGCCGCCCCTTTTCTTTTAGCAAACCTGTGACACTCTGGCTGGTTTCTCTCCCAGGTCCTGGCAACCAGTTCCATCAATGTGCTAGGAGGGACACTGGACAGAGCCGGAACCAGTAACCTTCCAACCCTTCTGATAATGTCAAACCACAATTGTGCACATTACCAGGGGAGGTTGGAAGGTTTCTGCCAGTACTTCTGGTTTCGGCTCTGTCCAGTGTCTCGCCTAGCTCATTGATGGAACGATGGAACTGGTTGCCAGGACCTGGGAGGGACACCAGCCAGAGCGTCACAGGTTGCTAAAAGCCCCCTTAGTCTAGGGAGGAGGACCCTGGTTCTGCTGTTTTCATTCAGCAATCCTAGAAAATAGGGAAGACATGTAAAAAGGGTGTCAGAATTCTACAGTGTTACAAAACAAAATGGCATTATGCATAGGATCTTTTAACTGCATGTCTACAAACTACACCATTGTAACATGATGATGGAATGGTCAGCACTCTTGCCTTGTAACACTGGGGCCTTGGGTTAGATTGTTACCTGATAACTGCATGCAGTTTTTATTTTCTTGTCTTCCTATTGGACGTCTTGTGGTGCTTTTGTTTCTAACTCCATACCAAAAGGTTAATCAGCTCCTGCCCATTTTTATACTCTGTTAATTCTTTTTTTCTGTCCTTTTCCACTTTAGGAGAAAATGGTTCATCGAAGACGGAGAAGAAAGAAAATCGCATTTCCTATTCTGTGGAGACCCCTTATGGCTTTCACCTGGACCTTGACTTTCTGAAATATGTACATGATATTGAAAGGGGTAATACAATCAAAAGGATACACATCCACAGAAGAGCCAAGCAGTCCAAATTTAGCACTCTTCCTCGAAACTTTAGTGTTCCGGACACTGGTTCACAGGGTTACTCTCAAGCCTCCAGTAATACCTGGTGCCCCAGTAGCTATAGAGCTGGACCCAAGGACAGCGAAATGTTTTCAGGAAGCGAGTCTGCTTTACGTCTGAGATATGTGCATGAGCTGAATTACAGAAGGAGGGATAATATATACGATGCTCACAAAGCCTTGGGAGAGTTGGCCCCAGAAGATTTTAGCAGCTGCAGAGATAGACCCCAATTTGGAAGAGCTTCTAGCCTTCCAGCCAGCTTACCACAAAGCACAACTTCGCCAGACCAATGCCAGTACCTAAGACTGCCACAGTCCACAAGCAGCTTCAGTGAAAGCAGGCTGGAGTTCATGAAAGGCTCCCAACATTCTGATGAGCAGATTGCGGCTGCGTTCAAAAGAATAAAAGAACTTGAAGAACAGTTGAAAACTATTCCTGAACTAAAACAAACAATATTTGTACTGGAGGAAGAAAATAATAAATTACATTCTCAACTTGTTAATGTCAGAGAGGAGCAGGAGGCTGTGAAATTGACCATTTCTGAAAGCAAAGCCAAAGCTGAGGACATTGGGAATGGACTACATGAAGCCCATGATCAGTCAAGCGTCAACGATTTAAATAACTCTCTGTGTTCAGGTGCTAATCAACAAATTGCAGAATTGACCGAACAACTGGACGACCGTAGCAGAGAGGTGCAAAATCTCAGGGTGCTGGTGGAGAAACAGAGCAATGAATTGAAGGCAAAGGATGTATATATTGCAGATCTGACGAGGATGATGGGAACAATGGAAGAAGCTAGAAGACAATCCGTAGACAGACAGCACAAAGATGCATCGGTGAACACGGAGGAAATCCAAACTGTCAAGAAGGAAAGTTTAGACAAAAACACCTATGCCAATATTTCAGTTATGACTCAGTCGGTGGGATGTGGTGTACTACCTGCAGATCTAGATCAACCTCCAGATGAGAGGAAAGATGGTAATGAGGTGTGTGAGCATGCTGTAGAAACATCGGGCCCATTGACTGATAGGAAGATACTGATGGATCAGGAGGTTGTTGGATGTGATATTGAAAAAGAGAAAGTTACAAATACTGGTGCCATGGAAAGTGAAATAGTGCATGAGATGGTGGACTCCCAAACCCATCTGGTTCAAATGTGTGACAACAGTGCCTGTGGATACGAAGTTCTGGTCGATAATAAACATTGCTCGGTTGATGTTCAACCTTCCACAGAGGCTTCCATTGGACATTATGTAAAACGGATACAGGATCTTCTGCAGGAGCAATGGACGTGTCTGGAGATTGGATATCCAGACCTGGCCAGTGCCATAAAGCAGCCTGCTTCCAAACTCAGTTCCATCCAGAATCAGCTGGTCAATTCCCTTAATCTGTTGTCATCTGTTTATTCTGCTCAGGGAGCACCAGCAAAAGAGACTGAGAAGACAGAAAGCCAACTAGGAGGTGAGCAAGAGGCAGCTAAAAGCTTCATTAAACTGTAATACATTGTTATTATGATTATTATTATTATTTAGATTTTTATCAAATGTTTCCTTTTTCTTTCAACAGTTGATTCTAGATACACAGAAGGTTCTGTAACACACACACAATTTTTACAGTGTCCTTTAGGCTAGGTTCACACCTAAGCGATTAAGCTAGTGAGCTGTTTTGGTTTTGCTTTGAAAACCGTGCGGTTGTCGTGCTGTTTTCAATGCATAGAGATGTCTATGGGACCCAAACTGCACGACAACCCCCCGAATATAGCTCCTGCACCTTTTTGCGCGACAGGCGATTTCGTCTGCGCGACAAACCGCAAAGGTGTGAACAGCCTCCTTTGACTTCAATGCAAATCTGTGTTTTGGGCGATATCGCACGACTCAATCCGTCTTGCACCCATGTCTTTTTAATCTTCTTTTGGCTAAGCAATATTTAAGATCCTTCAATTATTAGGGATGCACCGATATCGTTTTTTCGGTATCGAGTACCGATATATTTTTTGGCGATACCAAATAACAATACCGGAAGTCCCATTAAGGAAGCCAGGTGACATGTAATGACTCGCCACCTTGCTTCCCAATTAGCAGGGAAGCCGTCTCCATGCTCCCTCATCACCAGGTGATGAGACAGCATGGAGCTGGCTTTCTGGCCAATCAGGAAGCCGGCCGCAATGTAATGATGCGTTGCCCGACTTCCTGATTGGTTGAGAAGCTGGGCAATCAGGAAGCCGGGAAACGCGTTATTACACGCTGCCCGGCTTCCTGATTGGCCGGGAAGCTGGCTGCATGCTCCCTCGTCACCAGGTGACGAAGGAGCATGCAGCCGGCTTTCCGGCCAATCAGAAAGCTTGCTGCCTGGCTTCCTGATACAGAAAGCCCAAGTATCGGGCCAGGCATCGGAGCATTTGGGTGAGTACGAATACTCGGCATCGGCACCGATACTAGTATTGGTATTGGTGCATCCCTACAAATTATCATTCAGAAAAACTTCTAGTAGACCTTTTGGGAAGCAAATTCCCTGAAGTACATTCTTGGATATTGTTTGGGCAGAATAGAAAACGTGGTCACATGATGACCGTGGTCACATGATGACCATGATTCTGGCTGTGTGTGCGATCATGATGGAATTATTTGTTTACCCACATTATAATCCATAATGTAAGCACGAATGTAAATTGTAAGCAACAATGTAAGTTGCCTGGGCCATTTGAATTCGGCCACAGGTATGTGAATGTGGTGAGTTATTTTGCTCTAGGTCTGGCGCTAGAGCTTGTGAGTTAACATGGGTAGGCCTGTGCTTACATGTATGTTTCTACTTCCTGTTAGGGGAATGGAAAATGCATATAAGGGTTCTGTGGAACCTTCTGTGCATTGACTCATTCTGCTTAAGTGTTAAATACAACTCGGAACAGAAGTGCTTCTATGAGTACTTGCTAAGGGTATTCATTTAAGTATAACTCAGCCGCTAAAGCTTATTTCTGTTTAAAGGAAAGAGCTAGATTTTCATATTTCACCTACTGAGAGGCAGTCTGAAAAACGATATAGCAGTGAGAGTGGGAAATCGATGTATGAAACAGGTAACCCCAGGAAACATTGCAAATTTGCAAAACTCTGTTAACCATAATTCTAGCTTTATCTAGTGCTCCCACAATCTCTTGCAAGCAAATAAAGTAAATGTATTCCGGCTCATTCTGTATTAGTGGGATCAGTATGCTGTAGCTCAAATAATAAAAGAACAAAGTATGTGGTGTACCTAGAGTATTTGACACCCAAGGCATATCATTTAACGACATATTAGACTGGTCGTCAATAGAAAAGGAGAACCTTACATTGGTGGTCAGTGGAGAAGGATCACCTAACACCAGTGGTCAGTGGAGAAGGATCACCTTACACCGGTGGTCAGTGGAGAAGGATCACCTAACACCAGTGGTCAGTGGAGAAGGATCACCTAACACCAGTGGTCAGTGGAGAAGGATCACCTTACATCGGTGGTCAGTGGAGAAGGATCACCTAACACCAGTGGCCAGTGGAGAAGGATCACCTAACACCAGTGGTCAGTGGAATTGGTGCCCTCTGAGTTTATAGTCAGTGAAAAAAAGGGTTCACATACATTGGGGGTCAGTGGGAAGAATGCCATTCCAAGACCTGGAAAAAGAACATCTGAAAGATGAGAGGCTTCACTAGTCCCACACCACTGGGTCTTCTGAAGGACATCTGCTGTGTAACTATGCAGGCACAATTATGCAGGAGGTCAAGCTGTCAGTGGTTAAGGAATCCCTAGCCTCTCCAAGAGGAACTGTAGGGTTCACTGAACCCTGGTTGAGAAAGGCTGGTCTAGAGAGTACATCTGGGTGCTAGTGCAGGGCTGATCTGGGGCCTCACAAATAAAATGAATCGGAGTTGAGGATGTTCATAGTGTTTGTGGCTGCTCAGAGATTCCTATAGGGAAAGATGTTCCCAAAAAAACAAGTTTGCCAGAGAAGTTTAAAGGACGGTCTGTATAATGTATACATTTAATTATAGGATGACCATTGTGTGTCCATTGTGTGCATGTCCATGGTGTACATTTCAATGATATGTTTTTAAAGTTTAATAGAAGTGCATCTTTAAGCAGAAGTCCCTTTCTAAAGCGTAAAATCCCTTTAACAAACCAATCTTGTGGCCATGTGTTCATGAAATTTACCAAGGAGAATGATGAATCCTTTGCAAGGTTATCCTGTTTCTATCATCATTACATGCAAAACGATAAATTCTTATGAATTTGTCCCAGATGGAGTTTTAGCCAATCTCCTCCCATAAATCCTTCCTGACAGGTCAATGGCTAGAGTTGTTTGTTAAATATTTCCTTCCTGGAAGTTTCACATTTTGAGGGAGTTGTGTTACATACATCAGGCCTGAGCAGATAAGCCAGGCATGCCTGTGTGTTTAAAGCAAACATCACTGTAATGATTCAAACTATAAATTACACTGTGACCCGAAGGACTGCTGAACTAAAGCTGGCCCTTATGTAAGACTGCTGAACCTGACTGGCCCAAAATTAGCCACGCCACCCTTTAAGGGTTATAATCATACAAATAACAATTAGGCATCTATGTTGTGTTCTTCCCATACACACATTCATTATCTTCAGATTAGGTCTAAAGTAATCAAATTGCCTGGTAATCACCACTAAAAGCAGACCTGCAATAAAAAAGTATTCAACATGACAATCTTTGGCCACTCAGCTGTGTATAGTAAAATAAAAATGTCAAATATTACCTGTGTCAACGAGCTTGGCCTAGCCCTTGATTGAATTAGCATGGAATTATGAGAACGTCCTGCCTGGTTCCATTGGATAGATATCTGCCAGTGTGGTGATCCAACATGTCCGCAATCACTCCTACTAGCCAGGGCAGGAGAGAACCTTCAGTCCAATCTCATTGTGATCCACCATGTCTGCAAGCACTCCTACCTAGCCAGGGCAGGAGTGAACCTTTGGTCCAATCTCACTGTGATCCACCATGTCCGCAATCACTCCTACTAGCCAGGGCAGGAGAGAACCTTCAGTCCAATCTCACTGTGATCCACCATGTCTGCAATCACTCCTACCTAGCCAGGGCAGGAGGCACCCTTCATTCCAATCTCACTGTGATCCACCATGTCCGCAATCACTGCTACCTAGCCAGGGCAGAAGGGACCCTTCAGTCCAATCTCAATGTGATCCACCATGTCTGCAATCACTCCTACCTAGCCAGGGCAGTAGGGACCCTTCATTCAAATCTCACTGTGATCCACCATGTCTGCAATCACTGCTACCTTACCAGGGCAGGAGGGACCCTTCAGTCCAATCTCACTGTGATCCACCATGTCCGCAATCACTCCTACCTAGCCAGTTCAGGAGGGAACCTTCAGTCCAATCTCATTGTAATCCACCATGTCCGCAATCACTCCTACCTAGCCAGGGCAAGAGGGAACCTTCAGTCCAATCTCACTGTGATCCACCATGTCTGCAAGCACTCCTACCTAGCTAGGGCAGGAGGGAACCTTCAGTCCAATCCCACTGAAGTCTCACCAGATTTCAGAGTCAAAATAAGCAAATAAATGAGTTATGTCCATGTTTTATGGACATTCAAGTGTGGAAGCCTCAAAAGCTTAATTTAATTAGGGAATGCATGGTGTGCAGAGACTGTAGCAACCATGTTATATAGTTATATTGTAAAGCGCTACGCGCACAAACTGGTGGCGCTATATCAATCCTTTATAATAATAATAATTATAGAAAGCTGAAATGGGTAGACATTACTTAGAAACAAGTGGTTTTGTATGTGATAGTCATCAGTTGTTTAAAGCCCACCTGAACCTTCAGCATAATTCAGCTAAATACATTCCAGGGGCATTAAAAAAAAGTGTTCACATTTTTACATTTAGTTTTCTTTCGAAAAACAGCCATAGCCTAAGTTGAAATGTCTGTCCCATGCCATTATGCTGCACAGAAGTACCCTTGGCAGAAGCCGTGGTCGTTTTACAGATGTCTGACACGTTCCCCTGCTGAGTCAAAGCTGGAGCTCTCAATCAACAGGGAGCATGAGCTTTACTGATTGCTGAACTGTGTCTCGGATTCAGCAGGGGTGTTCAATTTGGATCCTTGACAAGGTCAGCAAGAGTTTTTGGAAGCCAAAAGGGTGATTAATCATCTTGTGTAATGCCAGAATTATAAAATAGGATGTTATTGCTAATTCGGGATTTTTTTTTTTTGTATGTCTATGGAAGGTCCTCAACCTGAATGAGAAAAGTCATGGTTGTTGTTCAGGGAACTTGAGTGAAAGAGCTGCCTGACAAGGACTCCAAGAATTTGTGGGAAATGGCTAGTATGACTCCCTGCTAGCGTGAATTCGGAATATAGTTACGGGGATTGAGTTGACTTGCCCTTTAACTTGGTTTTGGTTTGAGTAAGTTAAGCTTTAACTCGGTTTTGGTTTGAGTAAGCTCTTCATGTAGAAGAGGAAGGGATGCCATGCTTTCCTGGGACACTGGCCAGCCAGACAAAAGTTTGGTTAACGAGTTCCTCATGCTATGGGCCTTGGTATATATAATAATTATCTTCTTCCTCTGTTATGCAACAATTAAATAATCTTAATTATGTCATGAAAATGAAAGTCATTACACCCACCCAGTGCACGAGAAATCTGCCTGGAGCACTCTGTGTCCTCTCATGTTATGCGAAGTCTGACAAATGTCATCCCCAGCTGTGCAGAAACGGAACTAGCACTTGCCAGCAACTTCCTTTTAGAGATGAAAATCACAAAAGATGATGTAAAATCAACTGTTCCTTTTTTATTTTGCTTAACCAGGATGAATTTAGGAAAATCTTAATGGCCCATTTCAGATATCCATCACTAAGTAATTAACCTTAATTATGTCCTAATGAATTTCTACCGCTCTTTGTACAGAAACGTCCCCCATAAATAGCCTGAAGTCCATTATGAAGAAGAAGACTAATAGTGGACGTTCGAGTTCAGGCAGCGAAGCTCGAGCTAAGAAGAATCTCCAGTTTGTTGGGGTCAATGGTGGGTAAGCATCAGATCGGAGACTCACAGTGATACTTTTGTTTCTATGAATTGCTTTCTAGGCATAAGCCAAGTAGAAAAACTGAACGTTTCCTGAGATGATGGCTAGACCAGGACGACCCTTTTTACAAGTCCATGCTTCTATTCTACCTTTCTCTATTTTATTTCAAGAGATTTCCCTTCACTTCCTTTCTTGTAGACACAACCGGAAGCAAGAGCAAATCTCTTCACGGTGAGGAATATCTCCTGTTAAACAGTTGTTACCAGAACGGGTGTCCCTACTGAATGATTTCCACTCTATTTCTGTTCTGTTAGCAAGTCAAAAGTTTATATTTTCCCAAATAGAGAGGGTGTTAGGATGCACCAAGACCGATACTAGTATCGGTGCCGATACCGAGTATTTGGGGGTTCCACTTCCCCTATACCCGAACTTTCGGTCAGAGGGAGATTTCCTCTGACTGGCAGTGCCACGAGGGAACATGGAGCCGGCTTCCCAGGCAATCAGGAAGCTGGGCGGCGGGTAATGATTTGCCGCCCGGCTTCCTGATTGGCTGGGAAACCGGCTCCATGCTGTTTGACCGCCTTGATACTTATTGGTGAGGAAGCCGGCTTCCCAGCTAATCAGCATGGAGCCGGTTTCCCGGCCAATCAGGAAGTCGGGTAATGACTCGCCACCTAGCTTCTTGATTGCCGGGAAGCCGGCTCCATGCTGATTGTCCGGAAAGCTGGCTTCCCAGCCAAATAGCATGGAGCCGGCCAAACAGCATGAAGCCGGTTACCCGGGCAATCAAGAAACTAGGTGGCAAGTCATTACTCACCGCCCGACTTCCTGATTGCCCGGAAAGCCGGCTCCATGCTAGTGGAAGTAGCGGTATCGGTACCCAGTATCTGTAAGTACCAAAATATAAATATTGGTACTCGTACTCAATACCAAAAACGCTATTGGTGCATCCCTAACCAGTATTGGTGCATTTAATGCTTCCTTACTCTTTCAAAACTATATATGTACGATGTGCACAGGAAATTAGACTAAAAGGGAATTTTGCTTGCACATGATTGGATGACTGAAGTGAACACAGCTTCAGCTCATTCACAAAGCTAAAGGAACATTTGCCGTACTCTAGTCTTTTAATGAAATTAACCGCAACGGAGAACAAAACAGCTGATGCTGAACTCCAGGCACATATAAAATACACAAATGAAGGCAGCTCTCTATCCAGCAATACATCATTACATTAATTTTTTTACCTAAAAGCAATGTAGGTACCTGAAATTGATTTGGTATCAGTCTCCTGCTACTCATACTAGGAGAGGGAAAAGCAGCACAAGGAGCCAATCAATTCTGCTGCAGTGCTCATGTGTTAGCAAGGAACATCTGGTAGGCGGAGAGGGCAGAGTGACAGAGAGATGACCCCATCGGCCTGCTGCTTTTCCTTTCACATCTAATCACATGTCGGGGGAAGGACTAGACCTGTAAATGTTACTAATCTGCAGCAGAGAAAAAAATCAGGTCTCCTGTTCTGATAGACAGGGCTGTGCTGTGGGACAGAGCTGAATACACCTTAGAACTGGATGGATGGAAACGCATATCAGATAAAACAGATCCCATATATGTATTTCATCCGTGTATTTAGCTTTTAGCCTGGGGTTCAGCTATGAGGGAGGATGTAAGGGGGTTTACTCTTCAGCTTTCTTCAAACCTGCAGATATAACATTTTAGCAGAGGAAACCTGAACCAGCGCACGGGCCACCAATGTACAGACTTGCAGACTTTAGAGGTACAAAATTTCAACCACGAACAAAACAATTCTTTATTTATCTAACTCTAATTGGGGGGAAAGGGGAACAGATTGTCTTTAGTGAATACATTCATGATTTTCTTTGTCTGTTATATTTACTTTTTGTTTTGTTTGTAGTTCTAAAAATATGTTTCTGATGACATGACTTCCAGCTAAAGGACTTTGAGATATTGTCCAGAGTCATCTGTTAATGAGCTGACCCTCCTGGTCTAATTAAATCCTGAACTCTTGCTGTGTTCTGTACTTTAAACTAATTGTGATAAATGGTGGGCATTATGGATTCTGTGACCCTTGTTGGAATTCAATCTGAAACATTTGAATGCATTATGTGAACGTATCTGCCACAGGCTGCTCTATCGATTTTAGGGGATGTCCACTTTGTAGGCCGGTAGCATTACTAGGCTCAGGCCTTCTATCATGGAGACTTGCTGTCACGATCTGGGATAAGGCTCGGAGTCCAGTAGCTGAAACAGCAGGCGAATTCGTGGTATAACAGGCCGGGTTCGGTACACAAGCAGACGGTAGTATTGTAGGAGCAGGCAGAAGTTGTAATACACATCACTTCTGCATTCACAGCCCGGACGGGGATCAGCAAGGAGCTGATCTCCCGTCCTCCTCCTCCTGACGCCCTCGGAGCCGGTCCCGGGATCCAAGATGGGGCAGCGGATCCCGGGAATCAAGGTGAGGGGTCAGGGGGGGAAAACCGGAAGCGCCGACCGGGCGCTTGCCGCGAACGAGCACATATAGGCGATCGGCGGGCTATGGACCCGCTGATCGCCTATATGTGAAACACCCGGTAACGGGTGTGTGCATTGATCGGGTCTTTTCCGCCCGTGCGTGCCCGCTAGGGGGCGCGCGCGAGCAGAAAAAAATTTGCCGTCTGGAGACGGCAACCCGCAGATGCTGCAGTGCCGTCCGTCCGTTTTTTTACTACGGGCGGACGGCAAGAGGTTAAATAGGAGGTTCAAGGGAGGAGCAAGGAGTTCAGAGTTCAGCAGAAACTAGGTTTACCTGAGGATTACACAGGAGATCAGGCAAGGAGCTATCCAAGGTGGCCCAGCAGGTAGAACCTCTGCCAGCTACAGCAGAGGCCCCGGGTTCAGATCTGGTTCCTGACACTTGCCTTGGAATGGGGGAGCCTGCAACTGCTTCCACCAGAAAATCTGGGCAAACTAGTCCCAGCTCTCCCACTCCACTCCTTCACTGCTGCCCCTACATTGAATTTTGTTAAACTTGCCCAGTATTTAAATATATTGAAGGGGATTTATCAAAACTTGAGCAGACAAAATATGGAGCAGCTGTACATGGCAACCAATCAGCTTCTCTCTTTCATTTTCAAATCCTGACTGAACAAACTGCAGAAAGAAGCTGATTGGTTGCAATGTATAGCTGCTCCAGATTTTGTCTGCTCCAGTTTTGATAAATTCCCCCCATTGTATTAAACAGATCTGTTCTCTTGTCCATTCAGGGCAAAGTGACAGGTTTACTTGATGCACAATCTCTTTTTCACAAGTCCTCAATCTCTTTTTCTGCAGCCTCGGCACTCAATGGACAGGAAGCTATCAGTACAGAAGCTTCCTGTTCATTCACTATCTGGAGATAGTAAATATTTACTATGAAACCAGTCATGAGTGGACAGGAAGCCTCTGTACCGAGCTGCTTCTTGTTCATTCATAAAGAGAGCAGATAGTAAATATTTACTATGTTCATAAATGAGCAGGAAGTGATGTATAACACTTCCTGTTCATTCATAACTGGGGACATAGTAATCACTATGTCCTCAGTTATTTATAAACACTGTGTGATCAGCAATGATTGCTTAGTGTTTGTGTTCTGCTCGCCATCCTTTCCTGACTGCTCCGCCCCCCCACCTATCGCCAAAGCTGAGCTCTCCTGCCTGCACCGCCCTGCTTGGCCTCCTGACAGCATCTCTCCTCCCTGCTGGGCGCTGGTAGCTGGATCAGCTATGTGTCCCCTCCGATCCGCGCTGCCTCTGCCAACAGAGACGGGGGAGAACAGCGGGGATTTAAGGGGACATTGACCAAAGCTTGCAGCCGGCGCCCAGTGGGGAGGAGAGAAGCTGGGGATGCACTGCATTTTCTGCTTTTATTATTTGTACTATCGACATTTTATTATTATTATTATTATACAGGATTTATATAGCGCCAATAGTTTGCGCAGCGCTTTACAATATAAGGAAGACATTAAAATCACAATACAAACCAAGACAAGATGGTAAGGACGGCCCTGCCCGTGAGGGCTTACAATCTAAAAGGCCATTTTGCCCATAGTACCATTTATGGCCAAAATGTTTTGGCGGCTAAAATTTCAGTGCATCCCTAGAGAAAACCCCACTTTATGTTTATGTTTTCCTATTCACACAGCATACCTATTGGTAATTCAAATACCAATATTTTTTACCGTTTAGATGTTTCTTTGGGCAATTGCAAAAGTGAGTCTGTCCCCATAAAAGACTGGGGGCACACTGAGAATCCCATTATTAACATACAATGCAGAAGCCAAAGGAAATCAATCCAAAGTGAGTTAAATCCCCTCTTAGACAGTTGTCACCAGTTCCTATTGGAAGATTTCCCCTCTTTTCCTATTCTACCAATAATTGTAACATTTTGGGATTTCCATTACTTTCTGTCACAGTGTCAATGGTCACCAAGGTGAATGTCCCCAGGGGTGACACAGACAGCAATTAAAACCTGCCAGGAGTTCTAACCACTTTATATAGAGTGGTGAGGAGGTAGAACTATTGTAAGGTTATTATATTTATAGATTCTCCGGGTTTGATTTACTTAAGGCAAATTAGGCTGTTGGCTCTGCAAGAGAATTTGTACTTTGCAAGGGAATTGTACTTTGCAAGGGAATTTTCTCTTGGCGTAGTGATGGAGATGAAGCTCTGCTGCCTTTCATTATCCAGTCATGTGCATGCAAAGATACTATTTTTTTTTGCTTGCATGCGATTGGATGTTCTTTGCAAAGTGAATTTTCACCACATTCACCAAGGGAAACTTCCCTTGCAAAGTGAACAGCCCTTTAGTAAATTAACACCACTCTCTCTGTTTGTCCTGCTGACCATTGTTACCAAGACTGAAAGTGAGAGAAAATCCTTCATTACCCCCAGAACAGCTATAGAAGGTAAATCCTCTAATGGGAACACGTGTTCTGGTGACTGCTGTTACCTGACTTTGGAGACATTTCGACTCACTTCCCGTTGTATCTACAGGACATGGGTTGGCACTAGGGATGCACCGATACCGGTATTTTGGTAGCCAGTACGAGTACCTATAATTTTTTTCTGGTACTCGCCGATACCAATTACCGAGTACCGGAAGTCCCATCCAGGAAGCCAGATGGCGTGTAAAGACTGCCACCCGGCTTCCCGATTAACAAGAAAGCGGTTCCATGCTTCTCGTCACCATGTGACGAGAAAGCATGGAGCCGGCTTGCAGGCTCCATGCTTTCACGCGGCGCACTGCTTCCTGATTGACGAGAGAGTATGGAGCCGCTTCCCAGCCAATCAGGAAACCGGGCAGCGTGTAATGACGTGCTGCGCAGCTTCCTGATACAGGAAGTACCGGGCTAGGCATAGGAAGCATTTTACTCGCCCAAATACTTGGTATTGGCACCGATATCAATACTAGTATCAATACTAGCAAAAAAAGAAAAATAAGTTTGGCTTTAGATATACTTTAACATCAGAAAGCTGAGAGGAGGAGGGAATTCTGGACACTGGTCCTTTTTCTGACACTGGAGATAATTATTCAGGATGTCCGCACCCATTGTGTAATACAATGTGACATTAATCTGGACACTGGCAGACATTTACTTTGCGTCATTACTGATCTACTTCATTGCCAAAAGTTGATTTTAAAGGGGATGCATTGCCTCTAAAAGAAATACAGAGAGAACATATATTGTATCTTATAAATATTGTTTATAAGATCATAATATAAAAAGGAAGTTCATTGTCAATGCTGATGAATACTTACATGTCTTAATACAGTTTCCTAATTCGTTATACATTGAATTATGTGGTTCTTTTTTGCCAGTCACTTCTGCAACACGGCTGAGTTGTGTGCTTTGTTTTGTTCTATCATTTTTTTTTCTTTCTAGTTTTAGTGCCATGCTTTCTATCACTTTGACTTTTAATCCGCTATATTGCCTTTAGCTATGAAACGACATCAAGTGAGGATTCCAGCTCCTCAGAGGAATATGGAGGTGGCGATGTGGAGAAGGCTGAAATATCAACACAAGATGCTGAAAATAATCAGATAGTCGATCTGGTTATTGCCGAAACAAGAGACAGAGAGGAAGAGTTACAGGCTTCCCCAGAGCCAGCAGGATCAGAGACCCAACAGCAGAGCAGGTACAATCTATGCTAAGGAATGCGTTCTCTGAAGCTTCCAGGGAAGGACTGGGTTAGGTCCTGAGATTCAGGGGGACATCCCATTCCGCCCGGACCGATACATATATATTATGTTAAACTGGTGTCTCTAAGAGACACCTCCTTAAAAATAGCAGTGTACTTCCTGTGCCTAGGCACTCCTGTGTCTTGAGCCTCATAGTTGCATATCTGCATATGTAATTATGGCTCCTGTATGAGGTTAAAGAATATAGCTGGCTAGTGTAGCTTCTCCTATATCAGACCCCGTTCCTGTACAGGTAGCTGGTTGCCCTCAGGACTTACTACACAATGCTATTTTCTCTAGCTAGGTAGCACAGGTGGCCAATCAAATTTAGACTAGAGTACCTGTGGTACAAGGAGATACAGATGTCTGCAGAGCATGGGTTGTTCTGGTGCCCCGGCAGGAACCTAATCAAGTGGACATGCAGAAAGGTCAGTTCAAGTAGCAGGCAGAGACGTGGTCAAAAACTAGCAAGTGGTTAGTCCAAGCATCGGGCAGAGATGTGGTCAGTAAACAGGCCAGGTCCAGTGCAGGCAGCAGGCAGAGACAGCAGGCAAAGGGTCAGTCCAAGTGGGAAGCAAAGATGTGGTCAATAAGCTGGCAAATGCTCAGTCCAGGTGGCATGCAGAAGAGGTGATCAGTAACAAGCAGGGGTCAAGCTGGGCAGCAGGCGTGGTCAAAATACAGGCAATGGGAGCTAGTGAGGCGCACAGGAAGACAAGCGTAGAGCACTGGGCTAGTGAGATTTTGTAAGGGATCGGCGTATTGCGTTCCATCTGGAACGCAACGCCAGAGCCGAACACCGCAGATCGTGGGTTGCGTTCCAGCTTGGAACGCAACGTACGCGATGACGTCATACGGCTCCTCCCACCTAGCGGCTTGAGAACGCTTATTAACCTCGAGGGAGCTCTGCACGTCGTTCCCGCTCATCTCGGGAACCTCACTCTGTATGCTCGAACCTCGCTGGCTACTCGGGACTATTCTGCCACACCAACTCAACCGCAAGTATCAGTCACCTCAGTGACTGCATTAAGCTGGACTGTCATTTCCTTCATATATGAACTGCTGATACAAACTGCTATATGTGAAATACCTCAACTTACCATATGCAATGCTTCACCCTCATAAGATCCTATTGCAAGTGAAATGTGTGACATGCATAACACTGCTGTAAGGACTGTAACACTGTTTACCGGGAAAAGAGGATCTAGTTAAACTTACACAGCTGCATTGACTTCCCAATAAGACTGTGAACCACCACGCTCATAGAATCACGAGTCCACAACCATTAAGCAGCTGTCTCTCGGCACAACTAAAATACCACCTCCACCTATAGAGGGTATAGCACCGTGCAGTTAACATATACACAGAATAGGGATCAGGTGTATGATGTTAGGATCCCAAACTCTCTGTATTTAAGATTGAGAGAGTTGGAAAACGTTGACAACGTTTTCCATCGTCGATTTTAATCGACTTAATCGAATAACTGTTGCAGCTCTATAAAAAACCTCACCCTCATTCCTGGGTCTCGTGTACCTGTACATGCAACACTCTTCCGCAGTTGAGATCCTAGCAACCCAACTCGGTGCATTACAGATTTAAATCAGGTGCCGATTGAAGGTTGGACCTATCAAGGCAAGATGGTAGGAGTAGGCAGAAGGTATTACCTGAAAAGAGGATGCCAAAAGGCTGAGCTGTGGCCATACTGCCAGAATGCAGGAGACTGTAGCAAAAGAGGATCAAGGAGCAGGAGCCCGAGGTGCAGCCTTGCTGCCTGGACAAGTCAGTGGCAAGTGTGGCAAGACTTAAGTCACAGAGGAGCTATGGAAAGTCTTTACACAATGTGAGATCATCTAAGACACTGCAGCCTCTGACTGCTAATTTCATCAGATTTGGAGTGAGATTTGGCAAAGTCACTACTGTGTTGCTCACTGTTCTCTTGCTGGGTAAGTAAGTCCATAATGGGGAAAAGATCAGCTGCAGGGAGACCACAGGCAATGGTGGTAACTAGCCCTTTGTCCACTTCTTGCCTTTTTTTTTTGGCACATTTTTCCACAGTTCAGGTCCTCTTTAAAGCAATCCTTTTATCAAATATTAATTAAGATATGTCATTAGTGTTGCTGGAAGAATACAGAAAGACTAATAGCCACCAACGCAGAAGGGAGAACCAACCTTAAAATATGTCCAGAGGCCTAGGCCTTCACATAAGCAGCACTGAATAGATGATGGAACAGACAGTCCTTTTTTTATAGCCGTTTTCCAAAGCAGAGAGGATGGGGAGCAGGAAGAGACAGGTGTCCTAAATAAAAGGCTCAATACAATATGCCTACTTCAAATACATGTTACAGTAACATTTGAGATGCTGATAGGAGGTGAAAATCCAACAGGGGGTACAACAAGATGGCGCCCTAACTGACCTCTCATGTCAGGTTTTCATCAGTGGAGCCTGTAGGCACACAGCCTTTGCCGCCACTGTGCTACGATCACGTCTTTTACACAGAACTGTGGAGGATATGATGATCAGAACTTGTGAAACATCTGTGATACTCCAAATGTTGCTCAACAGTTAATTCTCCAGAACGCTGAAGACCGACAGTGCAGCACTTTGATTTCCTTTTTTTTTTTTAAATGTTCTAATTTCACAGCCCTCCAATCAGCATTCACCCAAAAATGCACCGGGGCTTAGGGATGATTGCATTTCACAGTGCTCTGACCCCCAGCTGCCAAATATTTTAGCATTTCAGAATTGGGTTAGGTTCCAAAATCTCTTCTGAATGGAACTTTTCTTTGTCTTCAAGTTTCAGAAGAAGTCTTGTTGTTCTTGTAAAGCCATTAACTGACATTTCAGTCCACGGCCGTATTTATTCCACTTTTTCTGCTTTTGCATAATCATTTCCAGATGTCATCTTTTTCATGAAGCTAAGCAGGGATGGACTTGAAAATAATTTATAAACTTTACTACCTCATTGTCAAATGTTTCCAAAATCATGTTAGAAATGCTCAAAAACATTAACTTTGTAGCAGTCAGACAGCATGTGAATATTGAGCTGTGTATCTCTCTCTCTCTCTCTCTCTCTCTCTCTCTCTCTCTCTCCTCCCCCCTCCACTCCTCTCTCTCTCTCTCACACACACTATCTCTCTCTCTATAACTCTCTCTCTCTATATATATATATACAGGTGAAACTCGAATAATTAGAATATTGTGCAAAGTTCATTTATTTCACTAATGCAACTTAAAAGGTGAAACTAATATATGAGATAGACTCATTACATGCAAAGCAAGTTCTCACACTCTCACTCTCACACTATCCCTCTCTCTATAACTCTCTCTATAACTTTCTCTCTGTGCCTATATCTCTCTCTCTCTCTCTCTCTCTCTCTCTCTCTCTTTCCTTAAAGCCCAACTCTGAGCTTCACCCCAGTCTCTTCTGTCCCGATAAGCCCTCTGCTGCTATGCTATGCTCTATTTTGTTTTATACTTATGATTTTTAGAAACAGAGGGGGAACATTTAAAGGGGAAAAAAATAGCCCTGAGTTAGGCTTTAAACACAAGGACATTGTTTCATGTTATGTGGTAAATGCTTCTCTAAAGTGCATCCGTTTTATTTAGCATTTACCAAGCTTTTGAACAGCTTTGTTGAAGCCTTCAAAGCTCCCTCCAACTGGGAGTGTTGAATACAAATCTTAATAGGAATGCTGAGCAGGTAAGGTGCGCTCCTTGGGAGTTAAACAGCTAAAGACACAGTTTAAAGAGAACCAGTCACCAGTGGATATAATTTGAATCTCCATTCAGCACTGGGCTGACATTTCTGCTCTTACAGGGAGAGAATACAAGTGATTAGCAACACACTTATTCCTGAGATTTAGGGCTTCATTATGGTAACAATGTATAGCGGGAACCCTTTCACTAAAAATCCCATCAGGATTCAGCTTTGCATGCTGATATGAAATCATCTCACATTCATTAGTTAAACAAACATATTTTGCTTTTACTTACAGGTACTGTTTTTCCACTTCCCTCTTGGGCATTAGTGATACAATGTGCCCAAGCGTTGCATCCTTACCATTACCATTGCATCCATTACTAAACATTTCTAAAGGCGTATTTATTGTCATTTCAAAGATAAGGGTGAAGGTCTGCTTTAAGAGTAGACATTCAGATTCTGTCAAATGTCCATTGGGTCCCTTTACAGGCTAAGTTTACTTTTCAGAACATGTTTCATGTTACACCCATATTTAGGGTGTAACATGGAACATGTTCACATCCCCAACACGCAGTTATCGCCCGTCAGAAACTGGCAGCATTTGAAGAAGTAAACAAACCCTGCGCAATGATCGTTCAGCATTTGATTATACATACGTGGGATTTTCTAGTGAGTGGCAATTGCAGCTGATCCATGTGATGAAACTTATAGACTTGCCTTGCGGTAGCGCCGGGCCTGCCGAACCAGGGACCCCCAGTGCTGCAAGGCAGAAGCGCTATCCACTACACCACTGTGATGACCCCATTGTGTGGAAATGCAATTCTGCCCAGTCTTCTGTATTTGTTTACTATTGAAGTACTGGATGGGTGTGATCTTTGCACCAAAACGCCCAGTCCAGCAGGGTTTGCTGTCTTTTCCCCTTAAAATGAGGAAAACTGCCAGTTACGGCCCACTAAGTTGTATTTTGGAATCTGTCAGTGATACATTTCAAATACCAATGGTACTATTCACCGAAGGGAATTTTCTGTTACTGCAACTTGGATGTAGTGTTAGGAAAACAGAACTGTACGAAGATAAGTTGCAGTTTGCAGAAGCAAATGAATATTTGATATATATACTGTATAAATATACAGAATATACAGTACTGTGCAAAAGCATCAGGCTGCTGTGCTGTAATGCTGTAAAGTAAGAATGTCTCTGAAATAAAAGTGATAATAGTTTATTTTTATCAATCAACAAAATGGAAAGTAAAGGAAGGGAAGAGAAATCCAAATCCAATCAATATTTGGGGTGACCCCCCCCCCTTGCCTTTTTCTAGGTACACTTGCACACAGGTGTTGAAGGAACTCGGCAGGTAGGTTGTTCTGGGTACATCTTGGATAACTGAGCACAGATCTTCTGTGGATTTCGGCTTCCTCAAATCCTTCTCTCTCTTCATGTAATCCCAGACAGACTCCATGGTGTTGGGATCCGGGCTCTGTGGGGGCCCAACCATCACTTCCAGGACTCCTTGTTCTTCTTTACGCTGAATATAGTTCTCAATGACATTGGCTGTATGTTTGGGGCCCTTGTCCTGCTGCAGAATACATTTGGGGCCAATCACATGCCTCCCTGATGTTATGGCATGATAGATAAGTATCTGCTTGTATTTCTCAGCATTGATCCTGACCAAATCTCCACCTCCATTGGCAGAAATGCAGCCCCAGACTTGCAGGGAATCTCCACCATGCTTCACTGTTGCTGACACTCATTATTGTACCGCTCTCCCGCCCTTCACCGAACAAACTCCACTACAGCCAAATATTTCACATATTGACTCATCAGTCCAGAGCACCTGCTGCCATATTTCTGCACCCAAGTTCCTATGTTTTCATGCATAGTTGAGTCGCGTAGCCTTGTTTCCGGGTCGGAGGTATGGCTTTTTGGCGGCACATTAAACCAAGGACAAGGACTACACCCTGAGAAGGGAAATCCTAACCCACCACACTACTTTGGGAGTCATCCTCAACCAACCAGATAGGAGAAGTGGATCATGCCTGCATAACGTGTCTTGAATTAACCACTTTAGTCTCCATAGGAAGCCAGTTTGACATATTGACAACGCAGGAGCAGAGCCCTGTCCCCCTGTAACAGGAACAGCCTGAACAACGGCCTTTATGGCAGGATCACCAGGTTGTTATTTTATGAAAGCTGAGGATTTAAAGGAGAACTATGGGGTTAAGGCTTTTCCCCATAGTTCTCCTAGGGTAACGGGAGGACACAAACAAGCGTCCTCCTATCACCCTAGGCTCCGTATACCGCGAGCTGCTGCTCATGGTATACTGAGACGCCGCAGCTGAATCGGGGGGGGGGGAATCCAGCCCCTCCCCTGTCATGGCAGAGAGCCGTGACAGGATCGAGAGGTGAGCGAACGCCGGTATGTGATCTACTGAGCCGACCTGTGACAGTCTCATTGTCACAGGTCAGCTAGAACTATGAGGGGAGTGAAAAGCACCCCCCCTCATAGTTCTCCTTTAATAACAGTGTAAATGACTTTGAAATTACAATAATATGTTCAAGTGTATATGACATTTTTGTGATTGGGGTTACATCTACTTCAAACACTTACACATATTAACAATGTAACTTATGTCATTGGGGCTGGGGAATTTTTGTGTTTTGTATTGTTGTAAGCCTTCCCATTGTGCTCCCTGCTATAAAGGCTGGTTATGGATTCATGCATGTACCACTTTTTTCTAGTTTAACTTATGTCATTTACCTTTTTTGTTTTATGAATATGTATCCATGTGCATCCTAAAGTGTCCTAAAGTATCATGCGCCTTCAGAAGCCGAATACTGATGTCACGTTGTATGTTTCGTCTTCTCTTCTAGGTGTTCGGTGGGTGATGCATTCCGCAGTGAATGTCAGATCCTGTGCAGCCATCTCTCAGAACTGAGGACCACCACAGATAATAAACTGGTACGCACCCCGACACCCATCCCCCCCCCCTTGCTCCCCTTCATTCAGTCTCATAGACTTTATTCCTCTCGCCCCCGGCTAGAGATCACAGCACTATGTAACCATTCGATTTTTAATTAAAAAGCGCTGTGTTGGCTGCTTGTGTTGCTGGCTCGTTAGTAGAATTTGTAATATAATTAATCTCAGAAGGCTACAAACTTCCTGCTCTTGCAGAAGGACAGAAATACCGAAGGGCTAATAGTAGAGGGCTTGGCACCGCACAGTCACAATACACCTCCGATTGCGCTTGCTGCAGGGCAGCTAAATCCGGTTGCGTTGGTTAATTGTATTTTCCACATCATGAAGATCGCAGTGTTGTCAGGTAGACTGAGAGAGAGTAAAAAATACTGTTTTCATTATTTTGATGCTGCTTTTGCTGAGCACACTCCTGACTTCTGACTTCTATTAAAAAAAGTGAATGTAAAATTCTCACTCTTGCAGTGGGGCTACCCCCGTAATGCAAGGGTTAAGAGATTGTTTTGCTGCGGGGGCTAAAAAAAAGCAGATATCCTCGGTCCCATGGTGGGCAGCTCGCACCGCTCCGGCTGTGGAATGTCCCTCTGTGTCCTCACATCTAAAGCAAGTCAATGAACTTACATAAGACGTGATGACATCAGCGGCGCTTATATCGCCAGAGCCTGGAGAAGAAAAGGATGCAGAGATCAGTCTAGCAGCCAGGCAGGACCGAGGATCAGGTATATTACAGTATATATATGGTGTGTGTGTGTGTATATATATATATATATATATATACTGTATATATTACACACAGACACACATCTGTACAGCTTTAGGTGTCCTAGTAGGGGAGTTACCTGCTTACTTCAGGAAAACTTCAGAAAGTGATGGAAGATTTGTATAGCTGCCACTTGACCAGGAGTAACACGCATTAATGTGACAGCAGTCAAAGGTGGGATGTCAGGGGATATTTCCTCTCACTTCCTGTTGTGTCGCTAAGACAGGAAGTAAGGGGTAATATTGCTGGGGGGCATACTGTAGAAGGCAAAAAAAAAAACTGACAGAAGTTCTAACTCTTCCCTACTCTATCCCTACTTGACATATGTATCTAGAAAGTAAAAGGATTTGTAACATCCCGGCACATCCTCTCCTGACATCAGCATTGTAATAGGAATACATAGTAGAGGTGTTTTTGATAATACAATCAAAGCTTACAGGAAAAATCCCTTTTATGTAGTGAGCACTGCCTTCCGTCTGCCCATCACTTCCAACAACCTCCTGGATTCCCAGTGTGCTTTGCATCTCTTTCCCTGCCGCTTGATGTGATGCAATCGACAAATTCTCATGACTACATCTCCCATCATGCATTTCTTCCAGCAAGCAATGATAATGTTACATTGTTCAGATGTTGAGTTATAGTTTGGAAGGCCGGCTCTGTGTGAGTGGTGACACTAGGAAGGTCATCTTCACTGGGCTGAGTGACATGGTGTCAGTGCATCGAGGAAGTCCATCCTGTGGGCATCTTTAATAAGTAAGTTTACAGTCTTCTAGATGGATCTGGTTATTAGGAGTGGGATAGAATCTATAGAAACACAGATCTATTCTTACTTTTTGACCGCAGATGCCCTTTAAAAGAGTGTCGGGCTAGTTAATGATCAGTTGGGACGCATTTCAATCCTCCCATCTCCTGAGGTCTGTAAATGAAAAGCCTCTCCTGACCTCTTTCACTTATTTCCCTTTTCAGAAGAAATGATGTAACCGGTCGGGCAGTTCATGTGATTAGCAGGGAGAGTTCCTATTAATAGCACTTTCATGCTGGTACTACTCATTATATTTATAATGGAGACTGAAGTGCAGTCATCTGCGCAGTAATCTTGTAAGTCACACTGAGAATCGCGGTCTCCC